ATGGACAAAATAGGGAATAACCTCCATCCATGGTGCACAAGCCAGCTGGGCACGTGGCGGTGGTGCAGGCCCGTGGGCAGCGTCCCGGAAACGTCCTGCCCCGCGGATTCAGGTTCACAAGCGATTTCCCCAAGGTGCCCACGGTCTACACCGGTTTATACACGATCCTCTGGCGCCGCCTTGTGGCGTATCAGTAGAGAGCCGCTCTAACTGGGCAGCGCTCAGATCTGCTGAGAAATGATGCTTCTCACCCAACCAGCAAAAGGGAAGAAGAGATGGAGGGTTGTGGGACGTGATGGGCATTTCGCAAGAGAACTAGGAAACAGAAATTCAGAATTAGCAGAGGCGTCAAGTTGCCCCTGACCAGTCAAGGAGCAGCTTCTACTCTGTATGTCATAGTAGATAGAATGTAGGCTGCGAATCGCCTGCTACTGCCTGGCTCATCTGCAAGGCGGGGGCCAGTGTGGAGGGAGCTGAGGGGTCGGGAGCCGCGGTCAGTGGCGGCACCTCGCAGGACCTTGAGGCCAAAGTCAGGAAATGAACTTTCTGTTCAAACCAGGCCTTGCTGGTCCTCCTGTCCATAGGAGGCATCAGCCCGCAGCGCAGCTGAGAAAAATAAGAAAATGAAAATGAAGGCCAGTTCTGGTTCTATTCCCAGGTCATCCCCAGATCATCTCGCTGGCCCCAGGCCAGCATGGCAGCCAGCGGGGTTCAACAGGCAGGGCAGTCTGGAGCCTCAGGAATCCAGGATGAGACCCCCTGCGGCTTGTCCCCTTGGAGTGGGCTTCGCCTTCCCGGCCACATTCTGTCCCGGCCACATTCTGTTTGATGAATGATTTGTGACTTCGGCTGTGAATATTTATGGTTCACTGCCAAGAGCAGGAGGGGCCTTCTGTTCTCTGATGTGCAGTCCCCAGCAGGGCCTGAAGGGAGGGGCAAGTTGCAGCCGCCACCTGCCCCAGGTGAGCTGCTGCCTGATGTCCATGCAGGTGTGGCTGAGGCTGGTGCACACCTGCTCTCCTGTCTCCAGAGCCTCTGGCCACCTTGCTCCCCGGGGCTCTTCTGCAGATGCCTGGGAGTAGGGGCTGCTCTTCTGAGGGGGGCTGCTGGGGTGACAGGGCTTTGAAATGCTGCGGCCAAATTCTAGGTGTCAGGTGGTCTCCAGCACCTTCCTGACTCCGGGAAGTGACCACAGGTAGAGAGGAGTCCACTGGGACCTGACCGTGGTTTCTACTGTGTGATCTTAAGCAAGTGTTTTTCTTTCTGGGCCTCAGTTGCCCTGTGTATCAATAGCTAGGAAAAACATTGCCCCAGAACCTGTATACTCCTAGAGAAACTTAACTCATCTCTGAGCCTTTCTAAGTACGGGCAACATTTCTTAAACCCATGCATGGCTTATGAATGACAAGCAAAGCTCTCCAGGGGAGGAGCCTGGCAGACAGCTGCTCAACCAGGCGACCACCTTAGCCATCACCCACTTTGGGGAAAATCGACGTGTGAACTTGAATCTAACCAGAACTATCAGATTAGCCCACATCAAGAGACATCCTGTAACACCGCCGGCCTGGAACCTTCCAAAGCATCAGGTTCCTGAGAGATGGAGCAAGACCGAAGAAATACTGCAGATTCTTAAATGTCTAAAGAAATGTCACGAGGAATCACAAGGCATGGTCTTAGGTTGAATCATGGACCAGGAGGGAAAAAAAAATGATTGAGACATTTGAATCTGTATCATTCGACAAGAAGTATTGCTTTAGCCCTGGTCAGTTTGGCTCAGTGGTTGAGTGGCAGCCTGCGGACCAGAGAGTCCCGGGTTCGGTGCCCGCTAGGGGCACGTACCAAAAAAAAAAAAAAGTATTGCTTCAATACTAAATTTCCCAAATTTGATGACTGTATTGTATGTATCAAATACTTACGGAAGTGTTTTGGGGTGAAGGGCGTGATGTTTGCAAGTACTTGCAAATGGTTTTGTAATAGCAATCATATAGAAAGAGAGTGGTTAAAATGACGTGAATCTTGCCCTGGCCGGTTTTGCTCAGTGGTTAGAGCATCGGCCTGCAGACCAATGAATCGCAGGTTCGATTCCAGTCAAGGGTACGTACCTCGGTTGTGGTTCATCCCTGGCCCTGGTTGGTGTCGTGCAGGAGGCGGCCACTCGATGTGTCCCTTTCACGTCGATGTTTTTCTCTCTCTTCCTTTCTCTCCCTCCCACTCTATCTGAACAACAACAACAAAAAAGGAAAAATGTCCTTGGATGAGGATTAAAAAAAAATGACATGAATCTTACTATTTGGTGAACCCGGGTGAAGAGACACAGGGTGGATTGCACGTATTTCAATAAAATATTTTTGAAGTTACAGTGAAAATATACACAGGTTTTCCCGAATGCTACTTTTTACACAAATCATCGTATTGTAGTTTCTCACGTGCTCAGGAGCTGGGTCCTACCATACCCAGTTTTATAGGAAAGAAGATAAGCTCCGATTACACAGTTTGCCGGGGGTCACCTACCAGTCCTGGTGAGTCAGGATGTGTGCCCAGGGCCCTCTTCTGGCTGGTCTTGGGGTTTCACAGACCTTCCCTCTGTGCCCAGCTCCCCACCCCCACCCGCCGGGCCTTGCTGTTTCTTGCCTCCTTATCCCTTGCTGTTCCCTTTGCTGGAAGGTACCCCCTCTTTTCTAGGGCCTCCCACAGCCTTCAGGTCACCTTCTCCAGGAGGCCTCTTCAGACTCCCCAGCCTAAATCAGACATAAATGAATGGGTGTGGCTGTGTGGCAATAAAACTTTATTGATGGACACTGAAACTTGAATTTTCCATCATTTTTATGGGTCACAAAACATCATTCTTTTTTATTGATTTTTAAAAATATATATATATGTATAGAGAGAGAGAGAAAAGACAGAGATTTGCTGTTCCACTTATTGATGCATTCATTGGTGGATTCTTGTATGTGCCCTGACCAGGGATCAAACCCCAAACCGTGGTGTAACCAACTGAGCTACTCCACCAGGACGACCTTGATATTTCTGAGTTCTGATTAGGAATGCTTAGGTTGTCCCTCCATTGGGTTTGTGCAATGTTTTCCCATGATTAAACTTCTCCTACGGAGACGTTCAGTGTTCTCTCGCCATCCTGCCTCGCCCCACCCCTCCCGAGCTCTCTGCTCACTGGCTTTCCCTGGTGGGAAGTTAATCCCTTAGGTCCAGACACTTCTCACAGTCTCACTCAAGAAGGCAGCCGTGGGTGGGGCTGGCTCGGACCTGCCTGGTTTGTTGCTGATTTTAATCCCAGGTGTAATCAGAGAGGCCAGCCCGGTGAGGTCCAGGTGCCCCCGGATCACATTTGCTGGGAGAGAAAAGGAGACAGGAGACCAAAGTCAGGAGAGCAAGGAGACTAATAACAACCACATAACGTGGCCGTTTATTAAATGCACAGGGACCTGCAGCCCAGGAAAGGTCCCTCCTTCCATGACATGTGGCGACCATATTTTCTCGGCCCAGCATTGAAGCGTGTGGATTGGCAAAGAACTTTTCATTTACTTTTAATGCCTTCTGATTTGTGAATTTATTTAGGGAGGGCTACGCGGAGCTGTGCGTTTTAATAAAAGCAGTTCACGAAAATAACGAAATAAAAGAACACCAAGCCAGGACTGGCTGGGCAACCTACACTCGACCCCTCATCAAAGGCCAAGATCTCAGAGTTGCTTCCTAAAGCCTGCTCCATCCCGTCTTGACCAAGGTCACAGATTGCAGCAAAAAACAAAAAACAAAACAAAACAAAAAAAACACCTGAATTGTCATTTAACTAAAGGGAGTACTTTCATACATAGCGATAAATATCTGTCGAATAAACAAATGCCTATGAAACTCACTGACCCCTGAAGTCATGGGCTCTAGGCTGGAGGGTGGATTTTTACACGTGCAGGTGTGTTTTCACTGAATAGACCGTTCAAGAAGACAGAGAGGGGGTGACATCTGATCTGAGAGTACCCCACTACCACACAAATAAATCCTCAAGCCGGGGCATTGAATAGTGTTCCTGGGGAAAAGATATGACCCTGGTCTAATCCCTGGAACCTAGCAGTGGCCTTATTAGCATATATAATTAAGGATTTCAGGATGAGACCGTTCTAGATTTAACACGAGCCCCAAACCCAATGGCAGTGTCCTAGTAAGAGAAAAGAGAGGCGGGAAGGCTTGGCTCAGACCTGGGAGGGGAAACCCAGAGGGGGTGGAGGAAGAGGGGGAGCCTGTCAGCCACAGACAGGGACACCTGCAGCCCGGGAGCTGGAAGGGGCGCGGATGCCCTGCTGACACCTGGGCCCCCGACCTGGGACAGAGCAGAGTTCTGTGGTTGCTAAGCCTCTAAATTTCGGGTCGTTTCTTACAGCAGCCTTAGGAAACCAACACACCCATAATCCTACCACTTAAAACTACTTAATGTTTCAAAGTCCTTAATTCTATTCAATACTCGGGAGCCACGCGACTTGGGGCGAGCTGCCTTGCTCCTCTGGATCCCAGTTTCCTCGCTGGCAAAACGGGGATGTTGGTTTCAGGAAACGTACGCATTCCCTGTATTTACAGGTGATGCTCAGTCATTGATTCATGGCGCCTGGCAGCCTCTCTGCGCCTCAGTCTCCCCATCTGTAAAAGGGAGGCAAGGATCTAGTCCTGCCCCCCTTCTCAGATGAGGACTCAATAGTAAGATTACGTGGAAAAGGAGGCGGAAATGTTTTCCTCGGCTGCTCAGCGCTCAAACACTAAAGGGGCGCACGCACCCCCCGCCAGTGTTAGGCACTAGCACCCCCTGCCGACTTTGCATTGGCCTCACTGGGCGCCGCTTAACAGCTTGCGCCTACGCAGACTGTAAGTACTCAGGCCCGCCCCTTGTGGGTGCGACTTCCTTGGGCTGCTCACGTTTGGCCACGCCCACTTCCGGATGGGGCGGGCCTAGGCCTGGAGCACGTGACGCGGTTCCGGCTTGTTAAAGATGGCGGCGCCCAGAGCTGCAGCGTGAATGTGGTTGCTGGAAGACGCTGTCGATCCGGGTTGGAATCAAAATAGTGGGACCGACCGTGCGCCATGTCGCGACTGATCGTGAAGAACCTCCCGAATGGGGTGAGTGCAGGGGCCTGGACCCGGGAGTCTGAAATGAGGACCAGTCGAGAGCCAAGGGGTGGTAGGAAGGCGGCTGGGAGAATTGATGGGTCTTCCCTCTGGGGCAGGACGCCGGGCGGATTCTGAAACCAAAAGGGCAGGATCCTCGGCTTATCCCCATCCCATTTGACATCGGGAGAGACGTGTAGTGACTGCTCAGGGTTTCACAGCGGGCCTGTGGGTGCCTGACTCCCAGCCTACAGCTTCTCCCGGGGCAGGGCCAGGCCCCACCTCGTGCCAGCTGCCTGCCCCCCCCACCCCCCAGCCCCCGCGTCCGACCCCAGTGTTGTTGGCTGGTGACCGGGTCGCACAGTACCTATGGCCCTTCCCCGCTCGGGACTGTCGGGGAACAGTAGGTTTAGGCCTAGTTCCCAATCACTTCTTTAGGGCAGATTGGATTAGCTTAAGACAACTGGGTGGGTGTGAAAGGCTTTAAACCGTTTATCCAGTACTTGGACTCCGTTTCCCTCGAGTCCAGCGCAGAGCCTGTGATAGGCATTCAGTAAACATATGCGTAAATAAGTGAGGGAAGAAATAGATGAAAATGTGTGGTATCAGATAATCGGGTGCAGGGGATCGATCGTCTTTACATATTAACCTATGTGTGGAAAACTTGCCACACCGCTGGTACGGCCAATAAAGTCACTCCCAAAACCCAAAATATGCCGTTTGGACGGTATGAGAGATCGTCCGTACCCTTGACTCTAACCCTTGGGACTCTCTCACCTTAGAAAGAATAAAGACAAAGAGGCATTTCTGTTTTATTGCAGTGGTTTTTTAATTTTACCTGTTCCCCCCCTCCCCCCCATCACGGATTTAGGATTAGGGGGTTGTGACATAGTTTTTAAAATTCAAACAGTACAGTAGTGTGTAAGATGAGAAGTGAACTGTTCCATCGTATCCTCCATCTTTCTCCAGGAATAATCTTCTATGGCTTGTCTTTAAGGCTCCTCATAGGCATCTCTGTCTGAATTGTGTGCTCTCGCCTCCATTTCTTGGCCCATTTACCCCAATGACTATCTGCTGACCCCCCCACTATGAAAGAAGGGGAACCTAGGTAATCTATTCCTCCCTTCCAGTTTGTTGTTTTTTTAATTCATCTGTCATTTATCTTAAATGGTATTCTTTAAAAATACCTGTTATTAATCTATCCATCAGATTTAGGCGTTTTTTTGTTCTTTTTTTTTTTTTTAACCCTCACTAGAAGATATGTTTTTATTGATTGAGAGAGAGATAAAGAACCATCGATGTGAGAGAGAAACATCAATCTCATATGCGCCCTTACGGGGATCGAACCTGCATCCTGGGCATGTGCCCTGACTAGGAATCGAACCCACAACCTTTGGTGTACAGGATGATGCTCCAGCCATCTGAGCCACCCAGCCAGGGCTAGACAGTGTCTCTTGATGCCTCACTGTGATGGATGAGGATGGCTACCCTTCCCATCCCAGCTTCCATTCTGGCTCCTGAGCACGCTCAGCTGTCCCTCATGGTGCCCCTTCTGCCCTAGATGAAGGAGGAGCGTTTCCGGAAGATGTTCGCCGCCTTCGGCACGCTGACGGACTGCAGCCTGAAGTTCACCAAAGACGGCAAGTTCCGCAAGTTTGGCTTCATCGGCTTCAAGTCTGAGGAAGAGGCCCAGAGGGCACTGAACCACTTCAACAAGAGTTTTGTCAACACGTCCCGGATCACAGTGAGTCTGCCTGCGATCTTTCCCTCCACACTCCTGTCCCCTTTCAGACTGGTGTCATCGGTGTCCCTCACTGGTTCTCAGTCTTTCATGCCTACAGATCCCCTGGGGAGCTTGTTAAACCAGTTTCTTGGGCCCCATCCTCAATTTCTCAGACGAGATCGGGCGCATTCAGGGTGGTATGGCCGTAGACCTCAATTTCTCATTCAGTATGTTGGAGGGGGACTCAGGAATTTGCATATCCCCCCAGAAACTAAGAAAGTACGTAGCAGGCTCGCAGGTGATGATACTGCTGGTCCCAAAACAAGACCCACTGATCTACATCATTCATTCCTGCACCTGTTCGGCTAGCACTCAGTGAGCGCTTCCTGAAGCCGGGAATTTAGAGACTGTGGTACCCCTGGCCCCGTCCTCATGGAGCCAGCAGCCTATGCAGATGGGCCGCCAGGTAAACAGGCTGCTTCCAATCAGTGTGGTCAGTGCTGAAGAACAAGGAGACCCCTGCCCTTGCCAGGGGCATGGATGGGGACTCAGGAAAGCTTTCTGGAGGAGGCGGCCCCACTCTGTCCCTCATGTGCATTTAACGATTTGCTTAAAAGCATCTATAACACTGTTGAGAAGGGTAAAAAAAAACAGATATTGGCCAAGTATACATCGTGTGACCCCCCCCCCCCCTTATAGTCACATCCCTCCGTCTCCGTGTGTGACATGTGCATGGAACCATGTGGAAGGGTTTATGCCAGAATAGTCCTTCCTCTCTCTATGGGTGGTGGGAAGGAGTTGGGTGCAAAACTTTGTTTTTACTTTCCTGTGCTTTCCTCGACCGTTTGAAGTTTACACATTGAGCACGTGCCCTTGTTACAGAAACAACAGAACTATTTTGAAAGGTCACACAACGTAGTGTGGCAACTCCTTCCCGGGGGAATAGTTGGTTGACCAGCACCCCTGTGACTGGTGGGAAGTGCTGGCAGGTCCCCCGGGGGCCACCCTCACAAAGGTCATCTCGGGCGAGTGAGTGGAGGTGTTTAGAGCCAGAGAGGTGTGTCAGCTCCGGCTTCACGCCCAACTCTCTCCCATGCTCCGGGGTGTCCCCTGCTTCGTCATTACCCTGGAGTTGTCCTGGGCCAGTTGAATTCGAGTCATAGTAACTAGAATAACACCATAGCTGTTAGCCCCACAGAGCCTGGCCCGTGACCTTGTGCCACCCTTGGGGTTGGATGGCTAAGAACTCGGCTCCAGAGCCAGACTCCCCAGGTTCCGGTCTCCATTCTGTCACTTGCTACCTGAGTGACCAGGGGCAAGTGACATAACTTCCCTGGGCTCCAGCTGCCTGGCCCGAGAAGTGGGAAGAGCCATGGATTCTCCCTCACACTGTTGGGAGGCTCGGTGTGTTTATACTTGCAAAGCGCCAAGACCATCTGGCGTGTGGAATTCTTCGGTAAATGTTTGTGACCATGTATGTGGCTTTAAAGAGGGCGAAGCCAAGGTTGGGAGGGGGAAGGGGGATTAAGTAATTGGCTGCAGCGAACTTAGCTGGTGAGTGACCATTACCTTTTTCAGAAGCCCAGGCTCCCAGGTGCTGAAATGCGGCCTCGGGCTGGGCACAGTGGCAGGTCTCACCGTCACCACCCTCTCTCTCCCATGCAGGTGGAGTTCTGCAAGTCATTTGGGGACCCGACAAAGCCACGAGCCTGGAGCAGGCATGCCCAGAAACCAAGCCAATCAGAGCAGCCTGCAAAAGACAAAGACTCCGTCCCCCCAGAAACTAAGAAGGTACGTAGAAGGTCACTCCCGCTCGAGAGGCCGGTGTCAGCAGGGTGGTCACCCCCGGGGCTCGGCAGTGGGAACCGGATGACCTGAGAATCCCTCTCGGACGGTTCCTGCCGGCGGGCCCTCCCAGCGCGGGGGTTTCATCACCTCCGCCCCTCGCCTGTGATCCTCACCATCTGTGTCTTCTGTTTTTAGGACAAGAAGAAAAAGGCAGCAGGTGAGCTAGAGAAGGTGAGTCTGCCCTGTTGCCCAGGAGCGTGGCTCCCGGAGTGGTCCTGGGAGCTGTACAGCCTGGGAGAAGGCCAGCAGGCTCGTGTCTGGGTTCTCAGGCTGCTCGTCGTGAAGCGTCCACTCTGCCCCCCGGGACTGACCCAGCTGGCCCCAGGGGTCCTCTAGACACTGGGGCGGCGAACTTGCTCTGACCTCCCAGGAGGTGGGGCGATCCTGACTGAGTCTTCCTCACCTGGTTTTCCTTCTTCCCGCTGCGGTGCCACCAGCTGAAGGACGACACCGAGTTCCAGGAGTTCCTGTCAGTCCACCAGAAGCGGACGCAGGTGGCCACTTGGGCTAACGATGCCCTGGACGCCGAGCCCCCGAAAGGGAAGAGCGAGCCGGCCAGTGACTACCTGAACTTTGACTCGGACTCGGGCCAGGAGAGTGAGGCGGAGGGAGCCGCGGAGGACCCGGAAGGTGAGGCATTGCCCGCACCCGTGGGTCCCTGCGCGCGGGCCGTGCTCTCCTGAGCGTGCACAGACGTGAGTCCCTGGGTGCCAGACCCTGCCCTGCAGTGGGGGTGGTTACCCAGCCGCAGGTCCGTCGGCCTTGACTGAGCTTGGTCACTTAGTCGTTCAGTCGTCACTCCAACACTGAGCACCTGCTGTGTGCCAGGCACAGCTTTAAGCACAGAACACAGTAGTGAGCAAAAGACGGCAGAATCCTGCCCCCGCGGAGCTGTCATCCGCTCGGGGAAAGACGCGGTGAAGAAATAAGTCCCCCGATCAGGATGTTACGTGAGGACAGTGCCACAGAGGGAAGCGGGGAATAGGAGAGCTCTGGGGGGGGCCCTGAGGAGGTGACCCTCGGCAGGAGGAGGGGTGAGGCTGAGCCCGTCTCAGGCGCTCACAGTGTAGTGGGGGACGGGGGTGTGGAGTAGCTGCAGTCCGCATGGCAGGCAGGAGGGGTGAGGCTGAGCCCGTCTCAGGTGCTCACAGTGTGGTGGGGGACGGGGTGCGGAGCAGCTGCAGTCCACATAGCAGGAGGAGGGGTGAGGCTGAGCCCGTCTCAGGCGCCCACAGTGTGGTGGGGGACGGGGTGCGGAGCAGCTGCAGTCCGCATGGCAGGAGGAGGGGTGAGGCTGAGCCCGTCTCAGGCGCCCACAGTGTAGTGGGGGACGGGGGTGTGGAGTAGCTGCAGTCCGCATGGCAGGCGGGAGGGGTGAGGCTGAGCCCGTCTCAGGCGCTCACAGTGTAGTGGGGGACGGGGGTGTGGAGCAGCTGCAGTCCGCATGGCAGGCGGGAGGGGTGAGGCTGAGCCCGTCTCAGGCGCTCACAGTGTAGTGGGGGACGGGGGTGTGGAGTAGCTGCAGTCCGCATGGCAAGCGGGAAGGGTGAGGCTGAGCTCGTCTCAGGTGCTCACAGTGTGGTGGGGGACGGGGTGCGGAGCAGCTGCAGACCAGCATGGCAGGAGGGGTGAGGCTGAGCCCCGTCTCAGGCGCCCACAGTGTAGTGGGGGGACGGGGTGTGGAGCAGCTGCAGTCTGGCATGGCAGGAGGGGTGAGGCTGAGCCCGTCTCAGGCGCCCACAGTGTGGTGGGGGACGGGGTGTGGAGCAGCTGCAGACCAGCATGGCAGGCGGGAGGGGTGAGGCTGAGCCCCGTCTCAGGCGCCCACAGTGTGGTGGAGGACGGGGGTACGGAGCAGCTGCAGTCCGCATGGCAGGCGGGAGGGGTGAGGCTGAGCCCCGTCTCAGGCGCTCACAGTGCAGTGGGGGGACGGGGTGCGGAGCAGCTGCAGACCAGCATGGCAGGCAGTGGGTGAGGGCCGGCAGCGATCTGCGCTTACAGCAGGAGCTGGATTTGACGGGAACGTCATGCATGGTGACGCTTCGTGCAGAGCTGGGGTCTGAAGGACTCCCTGGGAGCTGGGACGCAGTGGGGGGGCAGGAAGGGTTGCAGGTGGAGGGAACAGGGCGCTATGCAGGTGCGGGGCTGCAGCTGGGGGGGCGGGAGCAGAGAGCAGCCTGCTGGCTCAGCTGGCCCGACGAGCCGGAGCTCGGGTTTCTTCTTGCGAGCGCCTAGCAGCCACGAGAGGGTTTGATCCAGGAGGAGCAAAACAAATCCTACGGGTCGCAGTTGAGGGAATGGACACGCAGGCAGGGCTGCTGCGGGGACCGCGGGGCTCTTGACGTGTGACATGTGAAACAGACGCGCCAGCGTTCCCCCTTTTGACGTCATCGGAGGACTCAGCAGAGCTGCGTGGCACAGGGCCCCTGGTAGTGGTGGGTGTGACCCTCATGCTGCCCACCAGTGGCACCGCCAAGCCCCCGGCACCCCAGGCCTGGGGTGTGTGTGACTGTCCCTGACCCAGCCCTCCTGTGTTCCCAGAGGACGGCCTGGAGCCAAAGGCAGCCGTGCAGAAGGGGCTGTCGGACATGGACTACCTGAAATCCAAGGTGGTGAGGGCCGGGACCCCGTCCTCCTCGGAGGGGGAAGAGAGTGAAGACGAGGCTGTGAACTGTGATGGAGGCAGTGAGGCCGAGGAGGATTCCCCCACCCAGCAGGACCACGAGGGGACAGGGCCCAGCCCAGAGCAAGGGACGCTGGCCGGGAACAAGAAGCCACAGGAGGCCAGAGCCGAGGTGTGTGTGGATCGGGGTGTGCTGGAGCACCCGGGGAGACGGGGTCCGCCGTGCCCAAGGCCTGGCCGGGATCTCAGCCCTGCCGCGCGCTCCGTGCGAGCCGAGGCCAGCACGCGGGCTGAGCGCACTTCCCGCTGCAGGGCCGCCTCCTCCCCAGGGAGCTGCCGGTAGGCGCGCGGCTCTTGTGTCCAGCGGCAGAGTGGACAGGTGTCTGCCCACCTTCAGTAGCGCTGAGGAAAGTAATGGAGCAACTGCTACTTGCTAGGTACCCGACCTGCCATTTGCCATCAGCTCTCGAGACGATCTTGGGGGCAGGTATTCATGTCCCACTTTACAGACGAGGGAACTGGGACCCGGAGCAGGGAGTGACCTGCCCAAGTTCACGGCTGGGAAGTGGAGGGGTCGGGACTCAGACGCAGGCCTGCCGGGCTCTGAAGTTCAGATTAGAGACATGGGTGCGACCCTCGGGGCAGCCACCTCGTCTCCCTCCTCTGCTGAGAGACGGGACATTGTGTCGTGTGTGTGGGTCCCCATCCCCTCGCCTCCCAGGTCTCAGTGTCAGCCCTGCCTCTGCCTAGCCCTTTCTTTTCAAAGCTCCGGCCTCCATCTCCCACTTTTCTCTCCCCACCCCCCTCCCTCCTTTTATTTTCTGCCCCTCCTACTTGCCGTGCCCTGCCCTTTTCTCCTAAAAACCTGTATCCTAGCCAGGTCTCAGATGTGAAGTCAGGCTGTGGGTTCAGATCCCAGCTCCGACCCACACCGGCTCTGCAACCTGGGGTGACGCGCCTCTCTGGCCATCTCTGCGCAGGGTCACCTTCGCGCAGGGTCACCTCCATGTAGGGTGACCACAGGGCGCTGGCCTCTGCCCCGTTCCCAAAGCCCCTGCGCCTGAATGTGCGCTGGAACTCAGGAGGTTTCGATCTCCGAACTCCCCCGTACCCTGTACAGTCTAGCTCTCCAGGGGGTCTGGGCACCCCCTTCCCGATCAAGCACATGACTATTTCTGCAGTGAGTCAGAAACGACCATACCCGCCACACGAGACAAATGTCCACTCGAAATTCCCTCACATCGGCTCAGAGCGGGTTTCCTGGCAAATGAGTTCAAGTCTGGGCAGGTTTGGTTGCCAAAGAAGTGACCAGAACTTGGGTTTTTCAGAGCTATCTGGATTCCATGATTACAGAAAAGATCCTGAACCCTCAATTTCTCTAAGACTTTTTGTCGTTTAAGTTCTAAGAGAAAACTTACTGACAAAGTTACAGAGGTAGTAGGAGTGAGCCAGCTGGGCTTAGGGGGCTCAGGGACAAGTTAGAGGCAGAGGAAGGGCCCTTGAGCTAGGAGACGGGGAGGCAAAGGTAGCGAGCCCTGGGGGGTGAAGAAGGTGGGGAAGCGGAGGCACAGGCGGCTCCCAGGAGGAGCTGCCTGCAGAGTCATCCCTGGATCAGTGTCATCAAATATCACCCCACCCGGCCCTTCCACACTCTGCCGCGCCTGCGCCCTGGGGCCCCTGGTATCTCCTGCCCCTCCACCTCTGGCTAGACTACAGGCAGGCAGTGCTTGGGGACATCCCTGCCCGTCCCGCAGCCCACGCCTGTGCGGATGCACTGCCATGTCCAGGAGCGATGCCACTTGTACCAGGAAGCTCACTGCACCTGTGTGTGCTCTGCCCGCAGACAGAGAGGCCAGTGGTCCCCAGGGAACCCAGCACCGCCCACACCGTGAAGCTGCGGGGAGCCCCGTTCAACGTCACAGAGGTGCGTGCCACCGACGGGACAAGGGCCAGGAGCCTCTGCTGCATGGGGGTTCAGGATTAATTGGGGACTTGAGCAGGAAAGAATTGGGGGCCCAAAGGCTGATCAACGAGATTTCAGGCATCGATAGGGTTAGGAAACGGGCGGCCATACCGAGCCCGAGAAAGGCTGGCTTCGCTCACCGATCCGTCGTAGGTGTGGACAGACTTCTCCTTTTAGAAGAAGGGGAAGGCCCAGCCGCCAAGCATCTAAGGCTCTGATCCGGAGTCTGGGTTGCAGCAGAGGCAGCCGTAGACCACGGGGCAATGAGCAGGCTCGGCTGTGGGCCACCGGAACCAGGAAAGAACAGGCAGCCGGCCAGGGTGGCCCCAGGCTGCGGTCGGCTGACGCGGGGCCTCCATGGCGCAGCACTGTCCCTACAGCCCCCCAACGAGAGTCCCACTCACGACAGCCACACGGAGCCGCGTGCGTCTTGCACATTTTCTCTGTGTGTGAGCAGAGGCTTCTGTCCTGTGTTTCTTTTTTATTTCTTGTTAATCCTCATCCACAGGTGTTTTTTCCATTGATTTTTAGAGAGAGTGGAAGGGAAGGAGAGAGGGAGGGAGGGGGAGAGAGAGAAACATTGATGTGATGGATACATCAATTGGTCGCCTCCCACATGTGCCCAGACTGGGGCGGGGTAATGAACCCAGGTACATGCCGTGACTGGGAATCGAACCTGCGACCTTTCAGTGTGTGGGCTAAAGCTCCAGCCACTGCGCCACACCCACCATGTCTGTGCATTTTTAACGTATGTTTGAGTCACCCTCATGGTTCGAAGGGAGACTTGGTTATGAAATGAGGGGAGCACCTGCAGCAGCCCTGGAAGTTAGCCTTGCCCTCGTGGGGAGCAGCACGGGCCGTGTTCACGATGAGCAGCGGAAAAGTCCAGAGTAACCCACGTTCATGGGAATGTATCCTTAAGGGGGGAAACCCCACACACGCTTTACGTGTTGATAGTGACGTTACTAATACACACTTACGTTCTTCGTCTCCAACTTTTCTCAGAATTTCCCAAGTTAGTTTTAGTTAACGATGGAGAAGGGATGAGTATAGTTTAGAGGAGAGAGAAACCGGAGAGGATGAGGCCCTTTGGTTATCTTCCCGAATTCGGGACTTGGGCCCATGGTTCTTTAGTTGGGCTGCACTTTCGTTGCTGGGTCGGTAAAGGGGAAAACTTTCCTCTCCTTATAGAAAAACGTTACGGAGTTCCTGGCGCCCCTGAAGCCCGTGGCCATTCGAATAGTGAGAAACGCTCACGGGAACAAAACAGGTGAGGTCTGGGGGTGGGGAGGCAGACCGGGGAGCTCGGGAGCGCTGGGAAGGGCGGTGGTTCTGTGTCCCGTGCAGGCCCGGCTCTGGATCGGCTGAACTGCACCGGGCAAGGGTCTGCCCCTGCAGCCTGCTGTGTGGCTCTCATCTGGTTCCGTCTCCCGCCCTTACCTCGGCCTACGCTCTTGCCAGTGGGTCACCTGCGCTTTAAAACCAGATGATCCCAGCAGCTGTGCTCACAGGCGCTGCTGAGTGCAGAGGTCGTGCTGTGTCCCCACTGCCCTCTCCCAGGTGTCCACTCGGGCAGCGACCGTGCTGGAAGGGAGGGTCTGAGCTCGGGGAGGGGGAGCCTGCCTGCGCCCACTGCCTGCCCGGCCAGGGGCTACTGGACACGGAGCGGCCGGTTGGCCTCGGAGAGCCGCGCTGAGGCGCTCTGTGGTGCCGGGCATGCCGGCTGCTCTTGCCGGGAAGTGCTGGCGTGGGCTGAGGGGGATCTGTGGGCCGTTCGGGGGAGAAAGGGCCCTTGCTCTAGGGGTGGTCTGGTCCCCATCAGGTTTCTGTGTCTCCTCCCCGGCTCTCTGAGCACAGGCCCTGCCCGCCAGGCCGCAGGTCCATTTACCAGCCAGCCCTCTCTCCTCGCAGCCCTGTCTGGGGACAGCCCAGGGGAAGGTAGAGAGTCCCTGTCCAGCTTCAGGTCCCAGCTCGACCTCTTGCCAGTCCTGGGCCTTGGACCTGGGACGTAGCCCGTTCCTTCCCCTGGCCGCAGGGTGGTGGTGTCTCAGTCTGCGGTGCGGGTTCAGGACAGCGCTGAGCTGCGTGTTCCCTGAGAGCCACTGTCAGTGGTGGCACCCCGCCTTCACGGCACTTCAGGGGCCAGCAGGGGGGCAGGGACAGGGAGGGACACACTGGAGTTGTCAGGACTGAGAAGCCACGTTGGGGGCCTGGGAGCTGGAGAGAGCCGGGTTGTGGGCGCGACACTTTAGAGAAGCCACAGAGCGTCCCCACCAATGAGCTGCCGAGGAGGCGGGCGGCCCCAGGCTGAGGGTCAGTAATGACTGGAGCTTAAAGCCTGGGGAGGCCGCGCTCAGATTCAGGGCGGCCCCTGGCTGGGAGTGGACAGGTCCGGGGCAGGGCCCCCGAGGAGGCAGGTGGGGCTTTTGCAGTCTCCTGCGGGGAGAGGAGCCATGGGCAGGGCCGGGCCAGGGCTGCAGGAGGGGGAGAGGAGGAAGGGGAGAGTGGAGGGTGCTTGTGGGCAGACGAGGTGTCTGGGTGCAGGAGCCGAGGGGAAGGAGGAACGGGAGAGTGAGCAGCCTTGAGAGAGACATGGCGGCCGTGCCCTAGTCGCAGCGCTGCACCTGCCGGCCCGTGCCCTTGGGAGCGGCACTCCGCTGCTCTGCTGCCTGGCCGGGCTGCGGCCCCGGAGGTCAAGGGTACAGAGGCTCCCACGCTTGCGTCTGTGCACGTGGGGCCTCCAGCTCACAGCAGAGTGGTGGTGGATGTGGCCCCTCTGGAGCTGAGCTGGGTCGCAGCACGGCCACCACAGGCGTGGCGTTCCCAGAGAAGGCCGAGGGGCTGCCCCGGTCACGGTGGGTGGGCTGGTGGAGGCAGCGCCGCCTCCGTCCTGGCAAAGCAGGGCCGCAGGGGCTGATCGCTCCCGGCGCAGGGAGATTTGGCTGTGGGTGGGTGGGTGGGAGGGAGCCTTTGCGCTTGGAGAACTGGCAAAAATGGAAGTTCTTCCCCACTCTGCTGAGATTCTCCCACACACCTGGCACAGTGTGGAGACTCCCGAGAGTGTCTGCAGACGGGACCTTTGTCGTCGTCCTTCCTCAGGGTACGTCTTCGTGGATTTCAGCAGCGAAGAGGACGTGAAGAAAGCTTTGAAATGTAACCGAGAATACATGGGTAAGGACACGACAGGCGCCGCCCTGCGCAGTGGCGGGTGCGTGCGTTCTTTACTCCGTGAATTCCGGTCGCGGGTCTGCTGTGAGCCAGGCACTGCTCCGGGCACTGGGGAGACAGCAGCGAGCGGAAGGGCCCACATCCCCGCCCTTGTGCAGCTGACGGACGTAAAGGCAGAGAGACAGGGAGGACCCGGTGGCCTGTGCTGTGGGGACTAGGGAGCAGGGGCGGGTCAGGACGGGAGGAGGAGTCAGGTTTACACACAGGATTGTGTCCACTGCCTTAGCGGGGGAGGCCATTCCAGTACGGGGAACAGTACGGGGAGCAGCACGTGAGAGCTCCTCAGTTGGGAGGTCACCTGAACACTCTCCAAGGAGGTGATTCAGGTCCAGCCCTCGGCCCCTAGTGAAGACGCGGGTTCTGTTCGGGAAGGCGGGCACCTCGATGGTCTTGTTCGCTGGTCACCTGCTCCGTGCTGTGGCGGAGGCAGTGACGAGCACTGTCGGCCAGGCCTCGGGCGCCGCCTGTGAGCAGTTCATCGGCAGTGCAGGTGGCTGGCTCTTCAGGGTCCTGTTGTCACGTGTTGCTGCCCGAGGCAGAGAGCGAGCCCTGCCGGGGGCCGTGCCCTGGGACCGAGGCGGCCCGGCAGGCTCTCCCAGGGCGGACACCGAACGTGCGGGAGGAGTGCAGTCGGGGCGTCCTGGTCGGGCCAGCGCTGGCTCGGGCTGCTGCCGCCCTGGCACCCGGAAGGCAGCAGAGATGAGTCTAGAATCGTCAGGCAGAAGCCACTGCAAGTCCCAGGCCTCCCCTGACCCCTCTCCTCGTGCAGGTGGCCGCTACATCGAGGTGTTCAGGGAAAAGAGTGGCCCCATAGCCAAGGGGCCCCCAAAGAGCAGCACCAAATCCTGGCAAGGCCGGACGCTCGGGGAGAACGAGGAGGAAGAGGACCTGGCCGACTCGGGAAGGCTCTTTGTGCGAAACCTGCCCTACACCAGCACCGAGGAGGACCTGGAAGGGATCTTCTCCAAATACGGTAGGGCGGGCCCCGGTGCAGGCAGGTGGCTGCTCAGGTCCCAGTCTGCCTCCGTCAGCTCTTGACCTTGGGCTGATGACCTTTGAGGTAGTCGCGCTGCAGCTGCTGCCCACGCTCTTCCTCGGGCCGACCTGGAGCAGCCCGACGCGCTCTCCAGCTAAGGCCCGTCACCTGCTCGGTGCCGAGCACGCGGGCCCTTCCCGGCCCACAGGTCACCCCCTCTCCTGTCCGCAGGTCCGCTGTCCGAGCTGCATTACCCCATTGACAGCCTGACCAAGAAGCCCAAGGGCTTTGCCTTCGTCACCTTCATGTTCCCTGAGCACGCCGTGAAGGCCTACGCGGAGGTGGACGGGCAGGTGTTCCAGGTGACCGCTCGGGGCTGGCGGGCTGCTGCGCCCGGGTGGCCGGGAGGGACGTGTTCATGGTGCGCATGTGCACCCCACATCTCTAAGGAAGCACCCCAAATTGCTAAGGAAGCACCCCCACATTGCTAAGGAAGCATCCTCTAAGGGAGCACCCCCACATCTAAGGAAGCACCCCACATTGCTAAGGAAGCTCCCCCATATCGCGAAGGAAGCCCCCCCGAGGCCAGCCCCTGAGCGTAGCTCCCTGAGGGCAGGGCTGGCTCTGGTTTCAGCCATCTGCGGGCGCCTGGCACACAGCAGCACTGGGAACAAAGGGACAAGCACGCTCTTCTCTGGGGAATAGCAGCTGGAGGAGGGAGGGGCAGGAAGGAGCTGGCGCGGCCTGCGAAGTGGCCGCAGTCGCTGGCGGAGCCCTGGTCTGTCCCAGCGTCCCCTTGGGTGCTCAGTGCATACCCCCGTCCCGGCCGCCCCTTCCCTCCGCCGCCTCTGCTCGCCCACGCAGCTCGTGCGTCCACCTGCGGTCTCCAGGCCGGACCTCGTGCAGGCCAGGATGGCCGGGCCTCAGGGCGATGCTTCGGCGGCACTGACAGCTCTCAGTCTCTGTGAAGCTGTCACGTGGCTTCCACCCCAGTCAGCCAGTCAGGCCTGTCAGGTGCCGGGTCCCTGTCCTGGGCTGAGGGTAACCAAGTCGTTCAGCCTGAGGCCATGTCTTCTCGGCTTCAGTGCCATGCAGCCTGCCTGTGGAGAGGCGGCTGTCCTGGGAGGATGCAGGAGCACCTGCCCCCTTCCTGCCTTCACCTCCTTCTCCCTCCAGGGCAGGATGCTGCACGTGTTACCCTCCACCATCAAGAAGGAAGCCGGCGAGGACGCCAGCGCCCCGGGGTCGTCTTCTTACAAGAAGAAGAAGGAGTCCAAAGACAAAGCCAACAGCTCCAGGTTCCTCCCACAACCCACCTGGGCCCTGGCCCACTGCCGCTGCCCTGGCCCACTCCCAGCCGCCTCGGCGCTCCGACTCCGCGCAGTGGGCTCAGCCTGTCTGTAGCCTCGCCCAGCCGTTTGCTCATCCGCGGCGCTGGGAGAGTCGTAGCGGATGCTCAGTCACGCGGAGCCCTAGGGCTAGACGAGTCGCCGTGGACAGAGTGCTCAGTCCCGGGCGCAGAGCAGGGGCTCGGCAAACGTTAAGGGTTGTTAACATCACCGTTGAGTCCTCGTCCTCGGGCTCTGGGTACATGGCCACGCTAGGCAAGCTGGGGGGACTTTGGGGTGAGGAAAGGAGCTCGTGTCCTAAAGCTTGTGCACCTGGAGACACGTGCTGGCGTTGGGCCGGGCCTGACGGGCTCTCCGCCTCCGCCCCTCAGCTCTCACAACTGGAACACGCTGTTCATGGGCCCGAACGCGGTGGCCGACGCCATCGCACAGAAGTACAGCGCCACCAAGAGCCAAGTGTTTGACCACGTGAGTGAGCCGCCCATCGGCTGTGCCCTGGCCCCGGGCCGACCGCAAGGGTCAGAGGGCAGCGGGGGCGCCGTGCTGGGCCGCCTGCGAGCGGGCTCGGGCTGCCGTCGTGGGCGTCCTCTGGCCTGGCCGTCCCAGCCGCGCTCCGGCCCTGGGTCTGCGGGTCCTGCCTCGTCCCAGCCGCGCTCCGGCCCTGGGTCTGCGGGTCCGCGTGGGGCCACCCAGAGGCCGGCAGCCCTCCCCACGCCTGGGGAAGTAGGTGCTGCTCCCCCCCTTCCCAAATGGAGGCGCTGAGGCCCAGGGACACAAGGTGACTCGCCCAAGGTGGCAGAGGTGGGAGGACACCTGACCCGTCCTCACTCTGAACCCAGGTGCACCTCCCGGTCGGCCCCCACTTCGCGGCCGGGCCAGCCCAGGTCTTGGGGAAGAGGAAAGGGGCGTCACTGGTCTCGACCCCCCTTCTCTCCTGACCTTGTTCCCCTGGTTCTCCCCGTCTGTCTGGAGCCTGCCCTCCAGGGCACACACCTTCCTTTCAGTCCTGTCCCACCTTGGGCCTGGCCTGGAGGATGATGTCCAGCAATCAGCAGAGTCCGTGGGGGTGGCCCCTGGCCAGTCCACCTGTGCCGTTACTGCCCCCTGATGGTCAAGGGCTGCGCTCCCCTAGAACTAGAACCCAGCCCCTGTGTAACTGTAGGCGCCCCAGTTTAAAAGTGCAAACAGGAACAGGTGAAATTAACTTCCTAGTTGATTTTATTTAATTCATTGGAGCCAAAATAGTATCATTCTGCCACAGACGCAATCTAAAAATCTGCCATATCGCTTTGCGTTCCCATTTTCTCACTGAGCGTTCGCGGTCCCGTGTGTGTTTTACGCTCATGGAGCTTCTCGATCCGGACATGCTCCGGGCGTCCAGGGGCTCAGGGCCACCGTGTCACCATGTCAGGCAGCCCAGCTCCAGAGCTTAGCCAGTCAGAGGGGCTGCAGCCAATGCAGACCCAGCCGCTCTCCGAGCACGGGGCACGCAGCAGGGCCCTCGCGGACCCAGCCGCTCTCCGAGAGGCTTCCTGTAGCGAAGATACTGATACACAAGCAGAGGTGTAGCATGTTGGTGCCAGGTCCAGATCAGGGCACCCCGGAGGGGCGATGGGGTGTGAGCGAGGGCAGGCTGGTCAGCGGGTGGCCTTCCAGCAGGAACTGAATGGAGGAGGGGTCAGGCAGAGGACAGCCAGTGCAGGTGCACTGAGGTCGGGGTGAGCCTGGCATCTGGGAGGAGCACACAGGCCTGTGTGATCGGAGTGGGGAGAGGGAAGGGGAGGCTGAAGGGGTGGGCACGGGGCCCTTGGTTAACAGTGATAGATGCAGAAGCCAGAGCCGTCAAGTCTGGGTTTGACGGGCATTGGTGTGTCCTCTCCGTCTTGGTGTGTCCTCTCCGTCCAGGCCTCCTTCGAGGCTGCTGGGAGATGGGCGGCTGGTTGGTCCCCTGCCCGACAGCCAAGGCCTCGTCCTCCCTTTCCCACAGGAGACCAAGGGCAGCGTGGCCGTGCGCGTGGCCCTGGGGGAGACCCAGCTCGTCCAGGAAGTGCGGCGCTTCCTCCTCGACAACGGGGTCTGTCTGGACTCCTTCAGCCAGGTGGGTGCGCTTCCCGGCTCAGCCACACGGGGCCCCGGCGGGCTGGGGCTGGGGTTCAGGTGGGTGCTGATGGCTGTATAGGGTGGAGGGGTGGGCGGGAGGTGGGGGGAGCTGTCTGGATGGAGAGGTGACTGTGTTGCTGGCTGACGTCAGGACGTGCCAGAGCGCCTTTCCAAGCTCGCGCCCCGCGTCCGTGAGAAGCGGCATGTTGTACCCTCATTGCGGTCACCGCTTTCACAGTGCCTGGTGACCGAGGTCCCAGAGGGGTGCCTGGCCTGCAGCTGCCCGCAGATCAGTGCTGGCATCGGGCCCGGACTCGCTCTCCTGTGTCCCAAGCGTGTTCGTCTGCCCCCTTGCAGCCCGCTGCGGAGCGAAGCAAAACCGTGATTCTGGTGAAGAACCTGCCGGCAGGCACGTTGGCGGCCGAGCTCCAGGAGACCTTCGGCCGGTTCGGCAGCCTGGGCCGCGTGCTGCTGCCCGAGGGCGGCGTCACCGCCATCGTCGAGTTCCTGGAGCCCCTGGAGGCCCGCAGGGCCTTCCGCCATCTGGCCTATTCCAAGGTGGGCTGCCCGACCTGCTTCCCCGGACAGGGAGCCAGGGAGCCGCCGCAGGGCAGGTCTGAGAGCCACCTGCTGTGTCCTGGCTGTGAGCGCTCTCCCCACTGGGAACGCCGGTGGAGACTGGGGGGCGGGAGCCTCCAGAAAGCAGACCCGGGCTCCGTGCTGACCCGGTCGGTCCCCTCGGCTTCTGTTCCCTCGAGTTGAACCACCGTTCTCGGTGTTTTGGGGATCTTGTACCTCTAGTCATTTGAGAGTAGATTTCATAGGTGGGCTGTCTCATATCTGGGTGAAAACACACACACACACATCGGGTGTCCGTTTCTGTGGCTGCTGTGACAGGCTGCCACAGACTCGGTGGCTCAGACAACAGGGACGTGCTCTCAGGCTGGAGCCAGACCGCTCAGGGTGTGACAGGGCCGTGCTCCCTCCGAAGTTCCGGGGGAGGCTCCTTCCTCACCCCTTGCAGCTCCTGGTGGCACCAGGAGTCCCCGTGGTGCGGCCACAGCACCCCGTCTCTGCCACGGTCTCCCCTGCCTTTTCCTTCTCTCCCTTTCTGTTTTTGGGCTCAGACATGTGCCCGCCCACATAACCCAGGATGACCTCACTCTAAGGTCCTTCGCTGAAGGACACTTGCAAAGACCTTTTTCCCAAATGAGGGCACATGCACAGGTTCAGGGGACCTTCCAGCCCCTTCCGAGCAGCTTCTGTTCATGAGGCACATTAACTCTTGCACACTCAGCGCCTGGCTCCTCCTCTTGGAGAACAGCTGGGCACACCCGCGCACATGCAGGGCCCGCGAGTGTGTCCTGGGGGAAGCACGGTCTGGCGGCCCTGTTGCACTTCCTGAGGGGCAGCAGCATTTCGTCCCTGCTGCTGTCCCCTGCTCACGGCCCATTCGTGCTCCGGTTGGACCACAAGGGGCACAGGTAGATCTGACGGCAGGTGCTCGGAGCAGGAGCCCCAGGGTGTTCTCGGGTCTGCAGCATCGTGGGTTTTGGGCTTTGCTCCCCTTCTGGCTCCGTTCCTGGGTGAATCGCTCCTACTCTCTGACCCTTGGGCTCTTCATCTGTGTGAGACAGTCCCTCCCCACCCTTGTCTTTGCAGTTTCACCACGTCCCCTTGTACCTGGAGTGGGCTCCTGTGGGCGTCTTCTCCAGCTCAGCCTCCCAGGAGGAGGGACACCGAGATGCACCGGAGGGCTGTGCCAACAAGGACAGGGCCGGGCCCGATACCGGTGAGAGCTGCGTGGGATCAGGGTGTCCTGGGCGGGGCCGAGGGAGAGGGGTGGGCGAGCACTAATATTTATGAGGTTCAAGTCCTCCGTTCGCCCTGGAGACTGGGGATCGCAGACTCCTGGGTTTTACGGGCACGTGAAATATTCTTAAAGAGCGCGTAAAGACGGTGGGCGCGGCACGAGGCAACCAACTCTGCCCGTCAGTTAGAGGTCGTATGGAGAATAAACCAGAGCCTATGAGGGTTCAGAACACAGCGAGGGGAAACAGCCTCATTTCATACACCCGCCAGGTGCCTCCTGGGCCAGGGTGGCCAGCGCAGGCCAGGGATTCTGGAGGGTCCTTGGGCGGCGCAGCGCCCTCTGGCGTCCAGCGACTGCAAAGGCAGGGAAGGGGGAGCCACGGGCACTGAGGGGCGCAGTGCTCTTGTTGGGGCTGTTCTGCTTCCCTCCCTCCACTCTGTTCTCTCCTGAAACGCTGGGCACACTCTGTCTGTCTGTCTGTACTTAGTATTCGTCTCTGCCGGACAGTGAACCACGAGGGCACTGTCCTCTCCCCAGACGAGGCCCTAGGCAGGAGTCGCTGGATGAACGTGTGCGGGGGAGGGCGTGGATGCAAGACGTGGGCCGGGTCGCGTGGCTCTATGTCCGGGCCTCTGGCGCACAGTGGGAGCTTAGTGACGTTGGGAGGTTTGCTCTCTCGTTAGCCCACCGGCACAACGTGACCCGTGATGGTGACCCTGTCGGTCCGTCACCATCGCACTGGGTACCGTACCGTTTATGCCCACCCCGTGAACACCCCAAGCTGTTTCAGACGCTCACCACTTCCCGAAACACATCACGGGTGCCGACTCCCTGCCCAGTGCCTGTCCTCTCGCCCACTGCTGTGCCCGGCCCCAGAGCGTAAGTGGGTGCTGAGGGGACCCACGGGCAGAAGCGGCACTCGCTCCCTGCCAAGCCCTGTGCTGAGCACTTTGGGTCCCTCAGAAGGTGGGACTCAGCTCCTGGGAATTGCTGTCCCTTGATGTCCTCGCCTCGCTGTGGTGGTGGCCGTCCCTGGCGCAGTTTGTGCATCTGAGGGCGCCGCACCCGCTCCTGCCGGGAGGCTCTGTGCGTGTGGCCCATGTGGGGTGCTTCTCAGAGACAGTGTGCCCCGGTCTGAAGTTAGACCACTGCCCAGCCCGTCCCATGTCCCCAGCTTCCCCGGGCCCAGGTTCCGGTGTCAAGTGTCCCAGAGAGACTTCCCAAATGGCCCTGCGTCTCTGGCTGGTATCCAGGGTTCTGCCGTGACTCACACAGGGGCCTGGGAGCGGGAGGAGGGGTGCGTCATTCCAGCAAACGGGTCCGGATTTGGGGCCATGTCTGCTGGTTTGTCACACTGTCGTCGGGTGAGTCCCCCAGAGCCCACCTCGGGCTTCTCTCTGCCCCTTTTGTTCTTCCCTCACCGTATGGCACACGTGGTCTCCTCTGTCCCCTGCGCTGCTCCTTGTCACCGCCCCTCCCCCGCGCCCGGCCTCCGGACCCCATCCCCGCGGCAGGGGACTCAGCCAGCCCAGCCCTGGGCCTGCCCGGGTTCCAGGGAAGGCGAGGGGAGGGGCTCGGACGGAGCTTTGTGTTCCCCTCCCCCTCTGCAGAGCCCTGCGTTCTGTACCGTCCCGAGGGAGAGGAACTGTGTGTTTTATCTCCCCACAACCAAGACCCTCACCTCCAGATAAAGGCTCTGAGTGGGGGGAGGTCCTGCAAAGCTGCTCGTAACTGATAACAGTGTGCTGTCCGCCTGCCGCGGAGCTGGGAGGGGAGGGAGCCACGCGGATTCCGCAGCCTGATTGTAACGAGGCCCCGTGTGGCGATGCGTGACTGGGTTTCATTGTGCTGGCTGCCGGGGAAGGCGGCCTCCCCAGCCCTCCGTGCGCCCCCCTCTCCCCACCCGGGGCCCAGCCCTGCCTCCTTTCTCACTTCTCCCGCCTTGGCTGGTTCCCGGTGGCTCTGTTGGCGAACGTCTGTGGCTGCACAGTGCCTCGTGCTAGCTTTCTGGTCTCCGCCGTCTCCACTCGGGGCCAGGAGCAGACGTGCTTTTTACAGTGACCTTTGTCTCCACACCTCTCTGGACACTGCGGGCCTGACCGTTCTGGGAGCAGCTCTTCCCGGGGCTGGGCTGGCAGGGACTCGGCCCGGACTCCAGTGTGACTGCCGTTTGCAGCAGCCAGCCAGCCGCCCACCCTACGGGGGAGGGGCGCAGGTCCCCTCTGCTGACTGTCCTACCTGCAGGGCTTGGAATTTCTGACATTTCCGCCTGCTTTCTCCAGACCTGGCTGGGCCGCGTGGGCCGTTGGGGTGACACAGGCTTCTGTGTTCATCCTCATAACTGTTCTGCAAACGCCATCCCTTTTTTTAGATGGAAAGAAGGAAGCACAGAGAGAGGGAGGGACTTGTACAAGGTCACTCATCTGAGAGCTAGGATGTGACTCAAAGCCACCAGCTCCCAGCCCTGTGCTCATCCTGTGACTCAGTCTCCCCGTGCCGTCTGCGGCTCCGACCGAGTTCTCGACGCTCATGCTGGACACGGCCTCGTCCACACGTGCGTCTGGAGCATGTGCTCTGAGCGGGTGGAGGGGACGCAGTGGTGACCAGGGCACACGTGTTCTGTCCTTCAGGAGCTCCCCTTCCAGGTGACGGACACAGAGCAGCGCACTGATCAGGTGACTTTCGGTCAGAGGAAGGGCTCTGAAAAGTGGAACCCAGGGGATGTGATGGCAAGTGGCTAGGCCTGGGGACCCCTGGAGCTAGAGTGGACAGGAAGACCTCTGAGGGAAGGACATTTGAGCTGAGATTTGATGAGAAGCCAGGCCTGGGAAGGTGAGCAGAACAGATGAGACAGCAGGTGCAAAGACCCTGTGGCAGGGCAGGGTTTGGCAGGCTTGGCCAGCAGAATAGAGGCCTGTGCTGCTGGATGGGAGGGGACACGGTGGGAGAAGCTGGCAGGCCAGGGACAAGCGAGGAGGCCACTGGGTCACCCAGGCGAGAGGCAGTGATGCCTGGGACCAGGGACCCAGCATGTGGTTGGGGGGGCAGACACTTGCATTTCCAGACACCCCAGAGGAGTGCAAGAGGATGTGTGTGACTCTGCGCATGCGTGTGTGTGACTCCGTTTTCTGGCGGAGGCTGCTGAGCCACAGTGGTTAGGACAGTTGCCCGGGGCCTCCCTGCTAGTAGTGGCATTGCCAGGATGGACCCCGATCTCTCATTCCAAGGCCACGCACTTCCCCAGCTCCGTGCTGCCTCCCGGCTGCAGTCTGCGGGCCCCTGGTCGGCGTTTCCGGGCCCCTTTTTTCCAGCAGCTCTCAGGACTGTGACTCCCGTGTCTTGTTAGTCCCCCCCGCACCCCGGGGACGTACGGGTGCAGGGAGGTGGGCGCTGGGACACAGGGTTAGGAAACGATGACTGTCTGCTGCCGGAGGCTGCCCAGGCTGTGTTTAATCGCCTTTTGTTTCCATCCGGGTGTTCCTCCCAGATGTGGGGGTCGGGGTGCTGGTTGACTCATTCGAAGTGGGAGGAACCAGGTGAGCCAGGTAGGTCCTGGCTGTCCTCACAGACCCCTCGTTCTTCCTGGGCTGGGGCTGAGGGACGGAGGGGCTCGTTCTGTTTCTGGGGCACCGGTGCAGCCTGTCAGCTCATCTCTGTCGCTGAAGCGGACGCCACCCTTCTTCCCGGGCAGGTTCCTGCAGCCTCGGGCAAGCACTTGAAGCAGACGAGCCCCTGCCCCTGGGCGGGAGGCGGGCCGGGGTGGACGGGACTCTGGCCGCACTCAGAGCTGCCGGCCCTGGAGGCTGCGAACGCCCAGGACGCCACGCTGGGACCTGGCTGGCGCCCAGACCCTCCGGAGAGGCCAAGCGAGGGTCGCGGTCTTTCTAGGAGTCTGCTGAGGCCGGAAGTGGGGTGGAGCCCGGAGACCTTGTTGACCCCTGGTACCACTGGCTGACCACTGCCTGTCAGAAGCCACGTACATGCCTTTGAGGCAGTTGCCAAGGTTTTTAAACCATGGGTTTTCCCGTACAAAGCTGGGTTTTTAGCTTCTTTTGAAATATCTGAACATCTGCCACCCAGGGTTGACCTTCCTGCATGACAGCAGTGGGTCAGTGTGAAGAAGGGCCCGCCCCTAACCCGCTGGGGTCCCTCTTGGTCACCAGTCAGCCCCACCCTCCTTTTCTCTTCGCAAAATAATTTTTCTTTAGCCTTTCACGTATCTCTCCCCAGCCTGGAGATGCCTGAGACTTGGGGTTCAGATAGAGCGGCCTCTAGAATTTTCCTTGGGCCCCCCATTCGTGATGCGGCTGCTGTGGGCATTGACGGGGTGGCACACAGGCGCTGGGCCCGTGCTGGGAGAGTGGGACCCGTCAGTTCCTTGTCTTCTCCTCTCCTCTCCGAGACGGCAGGTGCAGGGGGAGCCGCGGGTGGGAATGTCATTCCAGCTGGAGGTCACGGTGCTCCTCGCGACCGAAGTTCTCATCCGGAGTCCGGAGTCTCAGCTACTTCGCATGGCTTTGCTGCCCGTCATTAGTAATATTCTTTGCACCCTGCTTTGCTTTGAAAGTTGGGTTTCGAGCACAAATGGCTCCACCACGGAGTCCCTTGTTGGGTAAATTGTGTGGGAAAGAAGCCTTTATGGAGATTTCTTCCTTTTGTCCTGGGGAGACTCTGGGTCCTGTGGGTTCTGCTTCACCTCCCAGGGAGCCGGGGGGGCGAAGGCTGCTTGATCATCTGAGTTCAGCAGCCAGCGTGGTCACTGTCGCGCTGTCGGCTTCAAAGGCTCGTTTTACAACAAAGCAGTCGACGCTTTCTTAGGACTTGCAGGCATTAGGCTTACGGCAGAAAGTGGGGGTGAGGGGGACGGACAGCAAAGCTTTAGTGCTTGGCATGAGAGTGTGGGGGACTGATTTTTTACCCCAAGCAGCCCCCCTGGGTCTCTCAGAAGTCTGAAGCAGTTGAGTGTGGGTGTATGTGAGGGATCAGGGTCGTGTCCGTCAGCTTTGGGCCGGCACGCAGAGCCGCCTCCCGGGCCCCGGCCGGCCCGCCCTTGGAGGCTTTAGATCTGCGGGGAGGGACGGGGCCACCTGCTCGGAAGCAAGGGGGTGAGGGCACAGCCTGCTGAGTGCCTCTTGCTGAGCCGGGTTCCATGTCCCGCGGGAGGTGGGAGGGGCTCCAGAAGCTTGGGTATGGAGGGCAGATTTGTCCCCGGCCCCAGTCACGTGACTTGGGGAAAATCGGGGGTTGACCGAAATAGAGCACATTCCCAGGCAGCAGGGCACCCGGTGAGGCTCCCGGCAACCTCGGGAAACCACAGGGCTCTCTGTTCTCCTGCGTACGGAATGTGGGGGAGACGTTGTTGGCTGTTGCATATGTTACTTTTCCTCCGAGTTCTTCATAATGAGCATTGTTCTCCATTGAGCAACTCGAACTGCCCGTGAGCTTGCCCGTGTGGTTGCGCAGTCCTTGAAGCGTTATTCTTAGCGACTACATGTTACCCCAGCCTTGGGTGGCTCGGCGACGTTCCTGACCTCCTGGGTACGCACACTGGGCGTTTTCCCCAAGCTGTCACTGTTACGCGTGACCGAATTGACCATGTCACGTGTCGGTGGAAACACTCTTGCGTGTGCCCCCTGAAGCTTGGTACACTGGAATTGTAATGGAATGGAACATCCCTTGGCCTCGGGCTATTTAGCACGTTCTACGTCTTGTTCTCGTTCTGTGTGTGAAAAGTCTTAAAGTTGCATTTTAGTTTGAAAGTTCACTAAGTATTTGTTGTTGTTTTTTTTTATAAAAAACATACTGTTGCGGAGGTTTGGAGTTCAGTAGGACAATTCACAGAGACGAGTGTGGGTTAGTCCAGCCTACGGCCCATCGTTTTCGGTCTGTGTTCGTATCCCTTCCTCCCTAGACTGAGGAAGGACGCGGGCGGGCTCTCTCCTCCTCACGGGCCAGGAGTCAGTGTCCCTTCCGGACGCTGTCCACACACACAGGTTCTGTGACTCAGACAGGGTAGACATCATTTAACGGATTTTGGGGGTTTTTTTGGTGGGGACCCAGTGCCAGACAGCAAGACCCCAGAAGGTGAAAAGCCAACAGAGGGAGGAGCAGCCGACTCTTCATCAAAGATGGAGGAGGAGGAGGAGGAGGAGGAGGAGGAGGAGGAGGAGAGCCTTCCTGGGTGTACCCTGTTTATTAAAAATCTCAACTTCAACACAACTGAGGAGACGCTGAAGGAGGTGAGTGACAGCGCGGGGCGGGCCGGCCTGGCTGGCTCGTGCGGTCACTGCCCGTGTCCTGCCGGTCAGCGTGCCTCGTGTTGATGGGTAGTTGACCGGCCAGTGCCCACCCGCTTGGCCGCTCTGCCAGGCTGTGCAGGCAGCATCTCACCCCCAGACCCGAGCAGCAGCCGGGCCGGGCTGGGCGGCACCCGCGCGTGAGGGACAGGCCCTCGGCCGTCCCCGCAGCCCGGCGGCAGGGTGGCGGGACTGGCCGGGAGCTGCTGGGACACGCGGCTGTCCTCTTGCAGGTGTTCGCCAGGGCAGGCGTGGTGAAGAGCTGCTCCGTCTCCAGGAAGAAGGACAAGTCAGGTATTGCCCACGGGTCTCAGCCAGAGCCCGGTGCTTCCCAGAGAGACAGGCGGTGTGGGCGGGGGAGGGCGGTTCGCCCACGTGACTTTGATGGTCCCCTTTCTGAACTGGCGTCACTGCCTCACTCGTGTGGCTGGTACAGAGCGGTCCTTGTCCCCGTGTCCTGGAGACCTGGTTCCCAGCGAAGCCGTCGTGGGTCGGGTTCTTCAGAGATGGTTCCGGGGCAGGCGTTCCGGGTCCGACGGGGCGACACTGCTCAGCGGCAGGAGGCTCTCCCCCCTCCCAGCACCTCTGTGCTCTGGACACTTCCTGAGGGATAGCAGGACATGACCGATCTAAGGCTTCCCCTCCCCTTCCTAGAGAAGTGACCCAGACGTAGAACATCTGGAACGTTCCAGGGAGTCACGAGCTGCTCACCTCCTGGTCCGTGGGTGCCGGGCCAGGCAGAGGCTGCCCTCATCCCCTTTCAGCCGCGGGTGCTGTCCCGAGTCCCTGGTCCTCTGATTTCTCTTCTCCAGCCCTGGCCTCTTGCCCATGACAGACAGGCAGCATGGCCTTGCTTGTCCACAGCCGTGCGGTCCCCATCCTTCCATTTGGGTGGCATCTGTAGGGACGACACGCGTCCACCTACAGCTGTGTCCTGAGGGACAGACCGGCTGGTGGTTGCAGCACAGTGGGGCGGGGATGGGGGGCGGGAGCTCAGCTCCGGGGTCTCCACGTCAGCCTGAGGCTGGGAGGTGAGGGACAGAGAGCAGGAGGAAGGAGGCGGGAACAGCCGAGTCCTCCCTGCAGTGGATCCTCGTTCTGTATCACTGGGTTGTGAGTGGCACCTGGAGAGACAGGCTGGGCCCACATCACAGAGTGCCAGAACCGCAGCGGAGCGGGACATGCGGGAGGAGCCCACATCCTAGGCCCCCCCTATGACCCAGACTCTCTTCCCCCCACGTCCCAGGCTCCCCCCGCCATGTCCCAGACTCTCTTTCCCCACGTCCCAGGCTCCCCCCCGCCATGTCCCAGACTCTCTTCCCCCCACGTCCCAGGCTCCCCCCCGCCATGTCCCAGACTCTCTTCCCCCCCCACGTCCCAGGCTCCCCCCCGCCATGTCCCAGACTCTCTTCCCCCCCCACGTCCCAGGCTCCCCCCCGCCATGTCCCAGACTCTCCCCCCCCCCCACGTCCCAGGCTCCCCCCCGCCATGTCCCAGACTCTCTCCCCCCTCACACGTCCCAGGCTCCCCCCTCGCCATGTCCCAGACTCTCTCCCCCCCCACGTCCCAGGCTCCCCTCCCGCCATGTCCCAGACTCTCTTCCCCCCACGTCCCAGGCTCCCCACACACACACATCCCAGGCTCTCCCCCCACGTCCCAGGCTCCCCCCCCATGTCCCAGACTCTCTTCCCCCCATGTCCCAGGCTCTCCCCCCCTTAACGTGCCAGGCCCCCCCCACACCCCAGCCCCCCCACGTCTCAGGCTCTCCTCCCTCACATCCTTTACCAGCCTCAGATCAGGGCTTCCCATTGGCTTCGCCCATTGGGAGGCCAGGCCGGGCGCTGGGTGACCTACACTGAGGTCGTCCACCCAGAGCAGGAGGGCAGGGAGAGTCTGACAGCGTCGGTGACAGGCGATGAACTTGACTCTCCATAGTGCCTTTCACACAAACCTAAGGTGCTTTTAAACAGCATGTCTCCGCAGACCCCATGACCCACCCCCTACAACCTTGCACCCCTCACAACCTAGAACCTCCCAAGGTTCTCAAACATCCACCGGACAACAAATACTTGAAGTCACCACAGGGTGGCGCTGCCTGTCCGTCAGCAGCCCTGCCGGCCTCAGATCTGTGGCCACAGCGCCCTGTGCCCTGTTGACCGGGCCCGTGCTCACAGACAAGACAGGACACGGTGGGGGTGCTGAGCAGACAAAGGGAGCGAACCTGGAGCTCACTGGGCCCATCCGACAAGCCAGCCCTCCTGAAGTCCACTTCTCTCGTGTGTCCTGCACACCCCCTGCCCTGGGTGTCTCGATCCGAAGCCAGGAAGCCACAGTTTCTCCCTTCTTGTCTGGGCTCCTGCCGCTCACCACCTAGAACCAGGGCACCAGACAGGTCTGAGTGACGCCACCTCCCTCCCTCTCTCAACTTTATGTCTGAAACCCGGGAACCGACCCGATTGGATGGTCAGAACTCCTTGTAAAGAGGGAGCCTTGGGTGTGTGACTCTCACGCGTACGTGCGTCTCACGCATGGTGGGGGAGGGGGCAGGGGACTGCCGTGGTGGAGGTTTTGCCTCTTGTCACTGTCACCGCAATGGTCATCCCTGTTAGTCCCTCTCCCTCCCAAAGGCGGAATTCTATTATGAAGTTAATTGCCATGTCAATCACCTGTTAATTAATGGCCAGCCGGGCCTCAGGTGGTGGCTATATAACCTTGGCTGATTCTTCGAGATGACTAGTAATAAATGGCAAGCCAGGAGCTGAAATATTTGGGGGAATGAAGAGGTGTGAAGAAATGAGGCTGTGAAGCCAGGGCCCGGGCACGGCGGAGCCCCCGCGCCGGGCCTTGTGCTCACGCTTGGTTCTCCACCCGTCATGGGTGGTTCCGCCTCCAGGAGCGCTGCTGTCCATGGGGTTTGGGTTCGTGGAGTACAGGAAGCCGGAGCAGGCCCAGAAGGCGCTCAAGCAGCTCCAGGTAAGGGGGTCCCCAGGAGAGGTAAGGGGGTCGCTTGGAGACGGTGGGCAGGGGTCCCGTCAACCCTCTGATGCTGAGTGGGAACACAGATGAGCCCACGCTCTCTCCAGTTCTCTGGGGGACTGTGGCCCAAGAAAAATTAGGCCCCTTCCTCAAGTATCCCATAGTCACCGTGGTGCACCACTCTGTATCAAGGGCCTGATGTGTGCTCGGCCTGGGGGATGTGGCCTTCAAGTAAATACACAAGGTCATGAGAAGTGCCCGGGTGGGAATAAAGCAGGCACTGTGTTGGGGGAAGGGCGACGTTAGACTATGTGGTCAGGGGAGGCTTCTCTGAGGAAGTGACAGTTGAGCTGACCCCTAATAACAAGATGGAGTCAGCTACACAAAGTTCTGGGGGGGGGAAGCCATGTAGGAAGTAGGAACAGCATGTGCAAAGGGCCTGAGGCCAGGACTCTAGGGCAGGAGTGATCTTACTGTGTTTGAGGGGCAGGAAGAGGCCATTGCAGCAGGGATAGGGTGGGAGGTGTGTGGGGCTGGATCTTGTAGGCCTTCAGAGCCGATAGAATTCAGCCTAACAGCGGTGAGGTGTCATCGGGAGGCTGGCCGACACGGGGAGGATCTGCTTTCTGCCTCGGCAGGCTCTCCAGCTGCTGTGCGGAGAGAGAATGGCGGCAGGGCCGGTGAGAGACCATTGCGTCAACCGGGCAGGAGAGCCAGGCTGGAGGCCGTGCCAGTGGGAGAAGGGGCTGAACTCGTGTGTAGACATAGACTCGAGCCCTGTGCAGACCGCAGGGAGCAGTGCCCCCCTGCTGGGCCCGAAGTGCAGGGCCAGCCGGGTCCTCCATAGCGGGAGGGGGGTGGGGACTGCAGGGGCAGAATGGCCTGGGATTCGCACTCCGAAGGGAGCCGGGCCCCAGCTTGGAGTGGTGTCCTCAGCGCCTGTCCCTGAGGCCCCACGTCCCAGGCCCGTAGGTGGCGGGGATGAGGATCAGTGCCTTCTCACGCACCTCTTCTTCCTGAGGACCCGTTCGCCCCCTGCTGCTGGCCTGCTCTCGTTCTGGGGGGGGGGCGACACGGAAGACTGGGTGCTCGTGAGGTGGGGGCGACACGGAAGACTGGGTGCTCGTGAGGTAGGGGTGACACGGAAGACTGGGTGCTCGTGAGGTGCCTCTAGGACAGACCGGAAGGGCTTCAGGGGGCCCAGGGACGCTTTCCAGTCCTACCCAGAAAGCCAGGGGTCTGCACAGCGGGGGCGCAGGCCTGCCCACATGAGGCCAGGACGGGGCCAGCTTTACAAGCCTGGGTGAGGCAGGGTGCTTGGGCCGGCACCCTGGGGAGCTCTGCTTATTTGTAGGACCCATCCACACGACAGCTGTGTCCCGGGAGAGCTTCTTCGTCAAGGGAATGGCCTTAGGGTCGTAGAAACTATAACCAGGCACTTGGCCGATACAATTGTTTTAGTAGAATTTTGACCTTCCTCTTGACTCAAGGCAACTCTGCAGAGGGCTGAGTTGGGTTTGGGTAGAATGAACACGGACATGATGGTCTCTAGGGGCCTCTGCTTTTAGTTTGAAAGTCCCTCTCTCCACCAGGGCTTGAAAACTCAGTTGCCCACGGGGGCCAGGTGGGCAGTGTCCCTGAAGGGGCAGCTTTATGCAGAACACAACCCTGGCTCCTGCCCTGTGTAAAGGGGCAGCCACTTCTCGGCCTCGGCCAGTGACTGCTCATGGGAAGGTGGGCCCCAGCGACACCCGGTCTCTGGTGTTTTGTTGGCTGCTGTTTGGGGGGTGGGGCCCTGGACGTCCAGCTTGGTTGTGAGACGTCCTCACGCGACTGGACCCCGCCCTGGATGTCCAGCAGTGCGTCTTCCCCTCCCGTGTGTGGAGGGTCAGCAGGGTCCGTGCACCGTGTCCTGTCCCTCCCGTGTGTGGAGGGTCAGCAGGGTCCGTGCACCGTGTCCTGTCCCTCCCGTGTGTGGAGGGTCAGCAGGGTCCGTGCACCGTGTCCTGTCCCTCCCGTGTGTGGAGGGTCAGCAGGGTCCGTGCACCGTGTCCTGTCCCTCCCGTGTGTGGAGGGTCTGCAGGGTCCGTGCACCGTGTCCTGTCCCTCCCGTGTGTGGAGGGTCAGCAGGGTCCGTGCACCGTGTCCTGTCCCTCCCGTGTGTAGATACGCGTGCTCATTGCCACAGATCTGCTTACACAAAGCTGCACACTGTATTTAATGGGTGATTTAAGGGATTTTCGAGGGTAATTTTGCTCATATTCCAGTTTTGCCCTAAGGGACTGACCTTAGAGCCTCGTTTAGGTGTGACTCCACTGTGAATTAGGATTTTTTTAAACTAATGTTTAACTTGAGGCAGTCATTGGCCGAGGCCGAGAAGTGGCTGCCCCTTTACACAGGGCAGGAGCCAGGGTTGTGTTCTGCATAAAGCTGCCCCTCAGGGACACTGCCCGCCTGGCCCCCGTGGGCATCTGAGTTTTCGAGCCCTGGTGGAGAGAGGGGCTTTCAAGCTAAAAACTTACAAACTAAGCTGAGCTCTCTGTGGGCCAGACTGGGGGGCCCGCTCGGCCTGAAAACGCCCATGAGAGGTGGAAGAGTCTGCCCCTTGGTGGCGTCAAGGCCAAGGCCCCTCAGGGCTCGAGAGCACGTGGAGGGTTGGGTCTCTGCTGCCTGGGCCGCCACTCTCTGGCCGGGACCCCAGCTCGCCCTCCTGGGAACAGTGGGTCCCCTCCGAAGTTCCCTGGCGCCTCGCTCAGCTGGAGCCAGCTCAGGAAGGGCAGGGGATGGGCCAGTGCGTCTAAGGGACAGAGGGACACTCCGTGCTGTCTTGTCTCGTAGGGCCACGTCGTGGACAACCACAAGCTGGAAGTGCGGATCTCGGAACGAGCCACAAAGTGAGTGTCCGGTGCCTTCTCTTTCCTTGGAGCCGAGTCCGTCCTCTCTGCCCCGGTGCTGGCTGGGTCCTTACCGTCCTCAGCCGACCCCTCTCCCTCAGGAAGGTGGTGTCACCCTTGCCAACTCCCACGCCGTCTGCCTGATGAGCTGGGACCAGGCCGGTACTTGAGGAAATGGTCAGTGCGCGTGTACTGTAACAGAAGGGACGCGGGCAGGAGAAACGAGCAGGTCCCCCTGGCCGTGGCCACGCACATAAACCAGCGGGGACTCGCACTTTGCTGGTGCTTTGGCCGAACCAGAAGCAGCTATAAACCTAGACGTTGCGCTTTCTGGGGCTTTCTTTCGGGAGCCGGCAGCAGTGCCCAGGCGGCCTCCCGTTAACTAGAAAGAGCTTCAGTAGGTGTTAAAGGTGGGGACTGGCGACGGGCAGATCTGCCCAGTGCCTGCCTCCCGGAAGTAGGGAGCTGTTACTTTTTAGAGGTTGAGTTTTGCCCAGACATCTGCACCCGTTTGTATGTCTGATGAGCTAATATACGCGAGGTGCTCGGAACGGTGTCCGACACAGACGTGCGCAGCGTCAGCCGTGTCGTCGTCCTCCACCTGCCCAGTGATGGAGGGAGCGCCTCCCACGGCCCTGGTCCTGCGTGTGGTCTTGGAGCGATAGTGGGCTCACCTGCAGTTTCTCCTTGTCTATCAACGCTGCCGCCTCTGGTGCGGTTCGCCCGTCCGAGCATCCTTAGCGAGAAGAGGGCTCCGTGCAGGAGCCCTCAGAAGTCGGGTCCCTGAGCTGTGGTGTGAGAGTGGGAGTCTGGCTGCTGAGCCCCACCGCTTTGGGTTCTCAGCACCTTGGTGGGTGACTGCCTGGAAATCAACCCTGGTGACCGGGGTTGTGTGGAAAGCCTGCAGCAGGTGCCAGGCACACGGGCCTCAGCCAGGGCTCCGATCTTTCTTCAGTCCCGTTTCGAGGGAGTCGGGCTGCAGTCACCTTGCATGCTCTCGGTCCTAGTACCATCCTGTGTTCAGCACCAAGCCCAGAGAGCCAGCTAGCCGTGCACCAGACACGCCCCGGGTCCCGGGGACGGCATTTCTGCATGGTTCTCTCTCTAGGGCAGTGTTCTTGATAAAACCTCTGTGGCGCCCTCACGTGGGCAGGAGGCCTCAGTTCCTCGCCACGCGGGCCTCTCCCTAGGATTGTGTGTGTCCTCACAGCACGCAGCCCCTTCCCCAAGTGACCACGCGATCCAAGAGGGTGTGGGAGGAAACAGCATTATCTTTCATGCCCCAGTCCCGGTGTCTTCTGCTGGTCTCAGACCTGTCCTGATGCCGCGTGTGCCCCTCACTGCACGAGGCCTGAAAGCTAAGGCAGGGGCCGCTGGGGCCCACCTTGGAGGCTGGCTGCCCCGGCAGCCAAGGACCTGAATTCTGGGTTTGTTTTGTTTTCCTTTGGCTGTAGCTACCACGTGTGGCTAGAGGCCACTGTATTGGCCAGCGCAGCGCTGGAGACAGGCCGTGGGGGAGACACAGTTCAGCATCGTGGGCTCAGACTGTGCCAGGGAGGAGAAGAGCACCCGGGTCACTTCAGTCGCACTTGCGGGACGGGCTCTGAGGAGGGGCCAGGGTGCAGGCTTACAGGAAGCGAGTTGTGACAACTGTGACGGGGATAATAGCTGCCATTTGTTGGATGTTTGTCACGTGGTAGGCACTGGGCAGTGTCTGACGCATCCTCTCGTGTTACATCCTCACACACTAGGATGAGGTTGGCACTATCATTAGGCTCATTCGGCAGTTGAGGAAACTGAGGCCCAAGAGGCCAAGTAGCTTGCCCCGATCACACAGATCCCAAGTGGCCGAGTTGGGATTGCTCCCAGGTGGTTAGCACACAACCAGGCCTTGACCCTACCCTGCTTCGATGGGACAGGAAGGGCAGGACTCGTTAGGCTGGCCTGGGGCTGCAGGCTGCTTCTGTTCTCATCCACGGCCCATCTCCGTGGTTGGAGACCAGGTGGTGCTCCTCGGGCAGTGACGGAAGCTCTCAGACAAGACCTCTGGGCCGGCCAGGTCTGCACCTGGAAAAAGACAGGAGACTGGATTTGGGGAGAAGGTGGCCTCACCCTCATCCGGGCTCCTTTCTCCAGTCCCCGATAGCCCCTAAGTCTCTCGGATGAAGGGCAGGAGACCCCTAAGGGTGGGCTGTGCCGACCAGAGATGATGATTATGGTCCATATCCCCGGGGAGACTCCTCCTCCCTGTGGCCTCGGCCGCTCTCACCCCGACTCCCTCACCCGAACGTGAGACGAGCCTCGGTTCTGGGGGAGGGCGGTCGAGTCAGTGTAAGGCAGCACTGCTGACCCCATGTGACCTCGCCCTTCCCCACCCTCCAGGCCAGCCGTGACATCCACTCGGAAGAAGCAAGTGTCCAGAAAGCAGACGACCTCCAAGATTCTGGTGCGAAACATCCCCTTCCAGGCTGACAGCCGGGAGATCCGCGAGCTCTTCAGGTGAGACGCGCCGGTTCGGTCCCGGGACACGTGTGCGTGGGGACCTGCGGGGCCTTGGGGAGGTGGCCTCTGGGTCCGCGGTGGCTCTGCTGAAGGCCAGCGCGTGTCTCTCAAAGGTCACCTGTGGCTGCCTTTGATTTATCTCCCTGAATCTCCACCGCTGCTCTGCAGAGCGTGGGGCAGAGAGCCAGCAGCCTCCCTCCAGGGCGAGGCAGGAAAGGGGTGCTGTGCTCCCAGCAGCTCGGCCTCGATCTGCCTGGAGGTCCTTCCGCTCGGCCCCTCCTCGTGGAGCAGTGGCTCTTCGCCTTGGCAGCGTTCGAGTGACCTGGTGACTTACGAACCTGCCTTTGTCAGGGCAGGGCCCAGACACCGGGCTTTCGGTGTCCGGCCGGGGCTGGGCCGCAGGGCCGCAGGGCTGCTGTGGGGCACTTTCGAGGTGAGGGCGAGTCGCCGACGTCAGTAGTGCTGTCCAGCAGAGCCCTCTCGGGCCGGGCGGGTCAGGGGACAGCAGGAGCAGGCTGGGTGGGGGCTGACGCGGTGATGTCACACACAAATGCAGGTTTGGTCAGCCAGTGAGTCCTTCCCATGTCTGGAGGGAGACTGGCCATCTGAATTCATAGGAGGAGAGTGTTGACAAGTCATTCGTTTCTAACATCAATCACCGTGCAGTCTGTGGGCCAGTGTGTACCCCTTGTGCGGGTTGGTACCCCCTGTGCTGGTACGTTGCCCTGTCCGGTTTTCTAGGTCAGGTAGGTGTCGCCCAGCACCAGGCCTGGATGCAGCATCTTCGTGAGAGGACATAGGGGGAAATTTTTAGGCCAAGGCAGTGCCCGGGCCTGTGCTGGCTGGCACAGAGAGGGCCGTCTAGCCCTCAGAATGGAACGGCAGGGGACATAGCCCCAATCAAGCAGCTCGTCTGGGCTTGGCTGGGATCTGAGAGTTCTGGAAACCTACGTGGGTGAACATGAAGGATTCTGCATACCAGGCCTCATTCGTGCCACCCGTGTTCGCCTAGTTGCAGCCTGAAGAGCTAAGTTCGGATTAGAATTGCAGTTAGCATCTTGCAAGGTCGGCTGTGGGTACGAAAGGTAAGTTGTGTAATGTAGAGACGGCGAAGTATTCTCGTGTGAATCTGCCTCTTCGCTCTTACTCGGTGGTTTAAAGAGTGGGGAGCCGTTAGAGGATTTGCTTCAGAGATCCCCATCCTGCCTGCGTTCTGAGTCATACACTGGTGTACACTCCCCGAGCAGACAGCTGGCCTGGGTTGATGAGAAGACGCCAGCCCTGCCGGGTTCTGAGTGGCAGGGTCTTAGCTGCGAATCCGGGTCCCCTTGGTGGGGACGGCCTGGTGAGACGGGGTCTCACTCCGAGGGTGTTTTCCTGCAGCCCAGATGTAGCGGAGAGGAACACGCGAGCAGGGTCGTCGTTACAGCAGGTGCAGGCCCGAGCCTGCCGGCCTGCTTGTCAACACGCCTCTCTCTTTGCCCTGCCCCTCAGCCTGGGATCGCTGTGAGCGGCACGCGTTGGTCAGGATAGTTCCTGTCGAAATGAGTCTTGCTTGGTTCCGCAGTCTTTAGGATGACTCTTTTTTTTTTTTTCCATTCTTGTTTTTTTAAGGGAGAGGGAGAAAGATAGAAACATCAATGAGCGAGAACATTGATTGGCGGCCTCCTGCATGCCCCCCACTGGGGATCGGGCCCACAACCTGGGCATGTGCCCTGACTGGGAATCGAACCGGCGACCTCTGGGTGCAGGGTTGACGCTCAGCCACTGAGCCACACCAGCCTGGCTTTAGGATGACTTATCCAGGGAACAAAAGACCACCACGGAAGGGGAAAAGCGCTTTGTTTGATCTCGTGTTTTATATTTATTTTAAGAAGACTGGGAGTCAGTGTCCGCCAAGCATCATTGTGAGCCGTGTCACTTCTTCCTGCCGTTGCTCTGCTGGGAGTCGCGTCAACCCCTGGAGGTGGAAAGGCTCCGAGGGCTCACCTTGCTTTGTTGTGTGCTGGAGCCGGGCGTCTCAGGCAGTTCCCCGGGGCGGCCAGCAGGGGCCACTGCGAGCCTTCTCAGGGAGCCCAGCCGGTCCAGATAACCACAGAAGGGATTCAGACAAAGCCAGTGGCCAGCAAAGGTCAGAGCCAGGGGGAGATTGCAGGGTGTGGGGGAGCCAGTCTGGTTCACTTTGCCAGGCAGCTTTTGTGGACTTACCCTACCAGGTATGATGTAGTCACAGTCTCACAAGCTCTCGGTTACAGGCTGTGCTGCCCGCTTCCCATGCAGTGTCTTCTGTAGCAGCACAGCAGCCCTGCAAAAGAGAAGTGGAGGGATGCCCTTATCCTTTCTGTACCCCAAAGGAAACGGGGGACCTGAAGCATCCTGCCTGGACCACTCAGCTCACAGCTGAGCCCAGATTTGAATGTCAGTGTCTGACCGAGAGCCCGGGCTTGGAACCACTCCCGTCTGCCAGGTCTAGAGGCCACCGTCGCTTCCCAGATCATCTTAGTGACCCCCGGGCACCATCTGCACCGGACACGGTGCTGGCGCCGAGGGCACCGCCATTTCAGGGGGACACGGCTCCGAGTTCTGCACCGGGCACGTGCTGGCGCCGAGGGCACCGCCGTTTCAGGGGGGACGCGGCTCCGAGTTCTGCACCAGGCACGGTGCTGGCGCTGAGCGCACCGCTGTTTCAGGGGGGACACGGCTCCGAGTTCTGCACCGGGCACGTGCCGGCGCCGAGGGCACCGCCGTTTCAGGGGGGACACGGCTCCTCTGAGCTCACTGTCTGGAGGCCCGGGGAGGAGAGGATGAGACTGCCAGGCAGTGACGCGCCCAGGTGTGCAGACACGCAGGCAGGGTGTGGGCGAGCACGGGCGGGTTCTCAAGGCCACCCACCGAGGGGCGTGAGCTGGGCCGGCAGCTTCCCAGCCACGCTGCGTTAGCCTGGAGGCCACCACGTAGTTCTGCAGGGTCGTCCGAGACGACTGAGGCTCCCCTTCCAGGAAGTCCGAGAGCAGGCACAGCAGGGCACTAGGAGACAGCGGTGCTCTCTCTGCCACCCTCCCCCTGGGCCTCAGTTTCCCCTGGCACAAAGTCCTGATGATAGCACGGGTTGTGATTTACGGTGACGCTGTAGTAATAAATGGTCGTGTTTATCATTATCATTAAGCGCTGTTTTCAGGCCCCGGCCTCTGTGCCAAGCACTGTGGGCTGAAATGCTTTTCATTATTAGATGTCCATTTATCAAAACAGCCCTGCAGGGTGGTTTATCATTGTCTTCGTTTCCCAGTGAACAAAACCAGCTCCAGAGCCCAAATTCCGCTGGGTGGTCAGCCGGCTCGGGCTGGCACCCAGCTCCCTCGCCGTGTGGCTGCAGCAGGGGCTGTTGAGAAGAGTAAATGACTGTGCACGTGGAGCCCCTGATGCAGAGCAGGCAGGCGGTAAATGTCAGCCACGGCCCCAGGCCGCACAAAGCCAGCGGCAGCACCAGGCTTCGAACTCGGGGCAGGTCTGACCCCGCAGAGCCTTCCCCCGCAGCAGTGCTGAGCAGAGTTCCCTGCGGCGTCTCTGGTCTGTTTCTCCTCTCCCCGAGTATGTGCCTGCCCCCAGTCCCCCACCCCCGCACTGCAGCCCACTCCAGAAGCGAGCTGCTAGAAACGGGGTTTCTGGAGGCAGGAATCTTTCAGGAAGGAGGTTCTGCCCCCAGGGCCGGCCCCGTGAGCACAGGACCTGAGGGGTCGCGTGAGGCCCCACGCTTAGTTGTCTAATGCTTTGCTGCCACCGTTTAAAACCCTCGATTTTTGAACAAGGGGCCCTAAATTTCCACATTTCACTGGGCTCTGCGAATTGCATAGCCACTCCTGCTTGCAGAGTCGCAGAAAGACCTGGGGTTTGGAGTCGGAGTGTAGTTTGGTACTTGGCCGGCCTCAGTTTCCTCATCTGCGGGGTGGGGTTGAAAATCATGCCTGCTTGTCCCCCATCCCCGACAGTGAAGGCTCAGTGTGGGGAGGCAATTCACAGAGGCTGGTCTGCTGTCGGCACCAGCACCTCCGTGGAGCACGGCTAAGGAGCAGGTGACAGAGCATCCAGACAGTTCTCGGGGCGGGCGAGGCGGAGTAACGGCAAAGGGCCACTTCTGGTGACAGACTTCGTGGGTTCGAGACAGTTCCCCTTTTTCCTAGGCTGTGTACTTCCCGGCTGTGCACCTCCGTTTTCCTCATCTGTGAAATGGGTAAAAGAACGTGCCGCCCAGCTGATGATACAGGCGGCTCCAGCCAGCCTGGCACCCTGCTCAGGATTGCCTGAGGGCAGACCTACCAGCGCGGGGCTGTGCCTTCGTGAGCACTGCTGCCACCTACAGTGAGGCCTTCGGCCCTGGCTGGTGGCTCAGTCAGCTGGGAGTGTCGTCCCGGACACCAGAAGGTTGCGGGCTCAATGGCCGATCGGGGTGCACAGGAGACCTATCGTTTCTCTCTCTCTCTTTCTCTCTTCCTAGAATCAATAAAAACGTCCTCAGGTGAGGACTAAATAAATAAGTAAATTAGGAATTGTCCCCAGGGCTCAGGGACCTGGGAGCTGCTGGCAGGTCAGGCGGCCTGGACCGGAGGCTTCGTGCTGCAGACGGAGAGCTTTTCCTGAGCCTCTTTTTCTTTGCTAGTTTCCTTCTCAGAGGTGTGACCACCTGCGAGGGTGTGAATGGGCAAGCTCGCCACAGGGCCCGGAGGCCGCAATTACAGGCTTGCATCTCCTGTCCCCGCGCACCTGTCGTGTCCACTGTGGACAGCGCCTGCCTGTCCCTGACCTTTCATTTCCTCTCGCAGCGACCATGACCGCGACCGTGGAGGGAGGCCGAGGACAGCTGGCCGACTGAGGCCCCTCGCCAGGCGCAGGGTCCCTGCCCTGTGCCCTCCTGTTGTCGGTGGTGCTTTTCCAGGAGCTGTGAGCCTCCAGCACCGTCATGGGCTGGGCGGTGGGGCTGCTTCCTGCTCACCAGGCCTCCT